GTTCCAGGTGACCCTGCCTTGGCATGGGGGTTGGACTGGATGACCTCCAGAGGTCCCTTCCAACCCTAAATATTCTATGATTTTGTGAGATTTTTAGGAATTGTCAGTTTTACCAGAACACCAATTTTCTTTTCAATCATGTATAGGGCTGTGAACATTTCCTGGTACTTCCTGCCGGATTTATTAGAGGGAAAAAAAAACCTCCACTAACATCCTCCAAACTAGAGGTCACCAAAAGCAGATGAAGCCTCTGTCACTAATGTTTTTGGCAACACTTCATGGCTTCTGATGGGGGCCTGAAAGGTGTACATTTTTGTCCACACAGACTACATGGATGAGACCACATGAAAATTCTGACCTCATACAAGAACCTGAAACTTTGACTCCTATTGTTTCACACACCTAAAATTTTCAGGTAGAGCGGTAACAAGTATTTCAAATTACATCAACCAAACCTTTGTATGGTCCTAAACCGCTTAGAACTCACTTTCAAACTCAATTTCTTTTTTCAACTATTAAAAATTAATAAGTATTTAAGTAATGCTTTAGTACTTAAACATTAGCTTGACTGATTACATAGGCTGCACTTCCTTAATTCAAAGAATCACAGAATACTTAGGGACGTCTGGAGATCACCTAGTCCAACACCCCTGCCAAGGCAGGGGCACCCGGAGCAGGTTACACGGGGTATGGAACTGGAATCTTCAACACTGTAAATATCATCTTTCCACAGACAGTTTTACTGTAATGCAGACACTATGTCGATTTGGGCAAACTGCTCTTTAGCAGCCTCGGTGTTCAAACACAGCCTTTTGCAAACACGGACACATCTCCCACGCCACGGGCCTCCTCTCAGCAACTCCGTGGCCTACGGAGCACGGACTCGGGGGCTGCTCTCCCCTGAACTCCCCCTCAGGGGCCGCCGCTCCGGCCCGGCCCGGCTCCCCGGACCCACCTGCTCCAAGGTCAGCCGCAGAAATTCCTCCGAGAGCAGCTCCGGGTGCAGCAGCAGCACCTCCGCCTCCGAGCGTGCCGGTTCCAGCCGCTCCTCCTGGCGGTCCCCGCCGCCCGCCCGGGCCCTTCCCCGCGCCGCCATCTTCGGCCCCGGCAGCCCCTTCCAGGCTCCCAGAACGCCGCGCGCGGCTGGAGACGCGTTTCCAGAGCAGCCGCGCCGGGCGGTGGCGTCACCTTCTGGAGCGGGGCCGGGGCCGCGGGAGCGGGGTGTGCCCGGCCCGAGCGCTGGGGAGCGCTCGGAAACACACAGGCTCACACGGAACCGCAGGGTATCCTGAGCTGGAGGGGACCCGCAGGGATCATCGAAGTCCAATTCCTGTCCCTGCACAGGACAGCCCCGAGTCACACCATGTGCCTGAGAGTATCGTCCAAACGCTTCTTGAATTTGTCAGGCTTGGTGCTGTGACCACTTTTCTGGGGAGCCTGTTCCAGTGCCCAACCACCCTCTGGGTGAAAAGTCTTTTCCTAATATCCAACCTAAGGCTCCCCTGACACAACTTCAAGCCATTTCCTTGGGTCCTGTCACTGCTCACCACAGAGAAGAGATCAGTGCCTGCCCCTCCTCTTCTTCCTCTCACAAGAAAGTTGTAGGCTGCAGTGAGGTCTCTTCTCGGCCTCCTCTTCTGCAACAAGCCAAGTGACCTCAGCTGCTTTTCATAAAGCTTCCCCTCAAGGCCCTTCACTATCTTCATGTGCCTCCTTTGGACGCTCTCGAATAGCTTCATATCTCTCTTACATTGGAGCACCCAAAACTGAACACAGTGCTCAAGGTGAAGCCAAACCAAAGCGGGACAATCACCTCCCTCGACTGGCTGGCAATGCTTTGTGTGATGCCCCCCAGGACACGGTTGGCCCTCCTGGCTGCCAGGGCACTGCTGACTCACACTTGCCATCGACCTTGCCATCAACTTGCCATCGACCAGGAATCCCAGGTCCCTTTCCATGGCACTGCTTTCCAGAATCTCATTCCCCAGCCTGTACGTATATCCGGGATTGCCCCATCCCAGGTGTAGAATCCTGCACTTGCCCCTGTTAAACTTCATATAGTTGGTGATTACTCACCCCTACAATTTGTCTTGAGTCTCTCTGTAGGGCCTCCCTGCCTTCCAGGGGGTTAGGTGTTGCTGAAGAGGTCAGGTTATCCCCCAGCTGATAGTGTTGAACAGGGAAAACATACTTTATTGTATTCTGACAATATACAAGACTACAAACCACTTTTGCCGCTACGTGCCAGAGCTGTGCTGCTGAAATGGAATGGGATCGCCATCCTGCCCATACATGTGGCACCTGCTTGTTAATGCAGCTTGATCTGCAATAACAAAAGTTGCTTTGTAATTCCAAAGTAAAATAGCTGCCTGTCCACTGGACTTAGTCATCTGCTTACATATTTAAAAGCAAAATAGGGAATTACAAATGATTACAAATAAATAAATAAATACAAATGTCATTGTTACAATACAAAACCACGAATTTTCTAAAGTAATTTGAAGTACTTGATTTTCATTTTACAGAATTATGAGGCACAGGCAACAATGTAACACAAGTAACATAATGTTATGGTTTTAAGTGTACCTCTCTATAAACAAGCTGCAGATATATCACTACGTATGCCACGTTATTGCTACATATATGCAGTGCTTCTGTGCCTGAATGAAAATTTTGAATATTTAAAGATCACTGAAGTGTACAAGTAACATTATTTCACAATGGTGTCCTGAAAACAGCCATCTGGCAGCATATGGAATTTACTTCCTTGTGCTTTCCCTCTGTCCCTCCTCCCAAACCAACACCAGCTATTGTCACTGCTTGTTTTTTCTTGGAAGCACCGCTTTTCCCACCTATGTATGGTTATCTTTTGTATTCCTGGGTTGGGCTTGGCCCGTAACTATGATCTGTATTGTGACTACAGCATTTGGAAAAAATAAAAGGATCCCTCAGAGTTGCCCAGACCGTGAGTGGTGTTTGGTGTTTGTGCTGCTGGGATTGGGTCCTCCTCTGCATGAATGCATAATTCAGATGCTGGCCCTGACGCTCAGCGCAGGTTATTTCTGAGACTGCACTGGACTAGTTCCATTTTCATTTTCTCACTCTTCTTTCACTTTGGCCAATTACATTCAAGTAATCTTGTAAATGAATATGCTTTCTAAGGTGAATATTCAGCCTGTATTTTGGTGCTTATTTCAGCCAATGAAATTACTTTCTTGTAAATTATGTGGATCATCTCTCTCTTCCTAAAGAATCTGGTAAGTTCTTTCCTTATGGAAAACTAACTATCCATTTGCTAACCAAATTATTTTGTTGATCATGACTTTCACTCTGTGAGTTTCTTATGTTAATATTTCCTTTATAGGGATTTGTACCCAAAATTATAGTTCCTTTTAGGTTAACCAGACCATGTTCTCTCTCAGTGAAGTTCTGACAGGGATGAAATGTAAACAGTCTGATAAAAACATAATGTTTCCTTTCAAATTGCTGTAAAAATGATAAAATTTTAATAACCTATATTATCTGTATAGATCTGCTGAACGACCCTATTGCATTTTATAGCGGAGATAATTTTAAAATAAATACCACATCATTTTCCATTATTTTTCTTCTTAAGATTTTTCCAACTAAAAAAAAAATGCTTTATACCAGTTCTGA